TCTCTGACTGGCTTTATTTTGCTTAGCATAATGCTCTCCAGTTCCATCCATGCTGTTGCAAATGGTAAGAGTTCCTTATTTTTTACAGCAGCATAGTATTCCATTGTGTAGATATACCACTGTTTTATAATCCACTCATCTACTGATGGGCACTTAGGCTGTTTCAAAATATCAGCTATTATAAGTTGTGCTGCTATGAACATAGGGGTGCACATATCCTTTCTGGTTGGTGTTTCTGTTTTCTTGGGATATATTCCTAGAAGTGGGTTACTGGGTCAACTGGGAGTTCCATTTTTAGTTTTTTGAGGAAACTCCATACTGTTCTCCACAGTGGCTGCAGCAGTCTGCATTCCCACCAGCAGTGCAGGAGGGTTCCTCTTTCTCCTCATCCTCACCAGTACTTGTCGTTTGTTGATTTGTTGATGATAGCCATTCTGACAGGTGTGAGATGGTACCTCATTGTTGTTTTGATTTGCATCTCTCGGATGATTAGTGACTTTGAGCATGTTTCATATGTCTCTTGGCTTTCTGAATGTCCTCTTTTGAAAAGTGTCTATTTAGGTCCTTTGCCCATTTTTTTATTGGATTTTTTATCTTCCTTTTGTTGAGTTGTATGAGTTTCCTATAAATGTTGGAGATTAAACCCTTATCAGAGATAACATTGGCAAATATGTTATCCTATGCAGTGGGCTTTCCTATTGTTTTGCTGATGGTTTCTTTTGCTGTGAAGAAGCTTTTTATTTTGATGTAGTCCCATTTGTTTATTTTCTCCTTAGTTTCCATTGCCCTAGAAGCTGTATCAGTAAAGACATTGCTACGACAAATATCTGCTATTTTGCTGTCTATGGCTTCTTCTAAGACTTTTATGCTTTCCCATCTTACTTTTAAGTCCTTTATCAATTTTATTTTTGGGTATGGTGTAAGTTGGCAGTCTGGTTTCATTTTTTTTCATGTATCTGTCCAATTTTCCCAACACTAATTATTGAAGAAACTGTCTTGACTCCAATGTATGCTCTTGCCTCCTTCATTGAATATTAATTGAGAGTAATGTCTTGGGTCTATTTCTGGGTTCTCTGTTATGTTCCATTGATCTATATATCTGTTCTTGTGCCAGTACCAGGCAGTTTTGAGAACAGTGGCTTTGTAATACAGCTTGATATCTGGTATTATGAGCCCTCCAACTTTGTTCTTCTTTCTCATGATTGCTGCAGCTATTCTTGGTCTTTTTTATTCCAGATGAATTTTTGGAGTATGGTCTTTGAAGTATGCCATTGGTATCTTAATAGGAATTGTTTTGAATTTTAGATTGCTTTGGGTAGTATGTACATTTTAATGATGTTGATTCTACCAATCCATGAACATGGCATATTCTTCCATTTGTTTATGTCTTCCTCTATATCTTTTTTCAGTATCCTGTAATTTTCTGAGTACAGGTCCTTTACTTCCTTGGTTAAAGTTATTCCTAGGTATCTTAATTTTTTGTTACAATGGTAAATGGGATTGTTTTTTTGTTTTGTTTTGTTGTTTTTTAGTTTCTCTTTATATGAGTTCATTATTGGTGTATAAAAAAGCCATAGATTTCTGGGTGTTAATTTTGTATCCTACTACATTGCCAAATTCATTTATTAATTCTAGTAGTTTTTTGATGGAGTCTTTAGGGTTTTCTATGTACAATATCATGTCATCTGCAAATAGTGACAATTTTACTTCTTCTTTTCCAATTTGGATGCCTTTTATTTCTTCTTCTTGTCTGATCACTATGGCTAGTACTTCCAGGACTATGTCAAACAGGAGTGGTGAAAGTGGCATCCTGTCTTGTTCCTGTTCTTAGGGCAAATGGTTTTAGTTTTTGCCCATTGAGTATGATGTGGGTTGTAGGTTTGTCATATATGGCTTTTATTATGTTGTGGTATGATCCTTCTATTCCCACCTTGCTGAGAGTTTTGTTTTTGTTTTTTATCAATAAAGGGTGTTGGATTTTGTCAAATGCTTTTTCTGCATCAGTTGATATGATTATGTTTTTTATATCTCAATTTGTTTATGTGGTGTATCACGGTTGTTGATTTGCAGATATTGTACCATCCTTCCATGCCCAGAATAAATCCCACTTGGTCATGGTGTATGATCTTTCTAACGTAATGCTGAATCTGATTTGCTAGAATTTTGTTGAGAATTTTGTCATCTATGTTCATAAGGGATATTGGCCTGTAATTCTCTTTCTTTGAATTGTCTTTATCTGGTTTAGGATTAGGGTAATCTGGCTTTTTCTGGCTTTGTAGAAAGAGCTCAGAGGTGTTCTTTCCTCTTGAATTTTTTGGAATAGTCTGAGGAGGATAGGTTTTATTTCTTCTTTGAATATTTGGTAAAACTCCCCTCTGAAGCCATCTGGCCAAGAGCTTTTGTTTGTTGGAAGTTTTCTGGTTACTGCTTCAATTGCCTCCATAGTTATCAGCCTATTCAGATATTTTTATTGTTCCTGATTGAGTTTTGGAAGGTCGTATTTTTCTAGGAATATGTCCATTTCTTCTAGGTTGTTGGAATGGAGTTGCTCATAGTATTTTTTAATGATTCTTTCTATTTCTGTGGGTTCTGTTGTTATTTTGCCTCTTTCATATCTGATTTTGTTTATATGGGTCCTCTTTCTTTGCTTCTTGGTTAGCCTGACTAGAGGTTCATCAGTCTTATTTATCCTTTCAAAGAACCAGCTCTTGGTTTCATTGATCTTTTGTAATGTTTTTTTTTGTTTGTTTTTTGTTTGTTTGTTTTTTTGTCTCTATGTCATTTATTCCCACTCTGATCTTTATTATTTCCTTCCTTCTGCTCACTCTGGGATTTTCTTGTTGCTCTCTTTCTAATTATTTAAGTTGTAGGGTTAGGTAATTTATTACTATTTTTTTCTCTTGCTGCTTTTAAGATTCTCTCTTTGCCTTTAACCTTTGGCATTTTGACTATGATATGTCTTGGTGTAGGCCTTTTGGGTTCATCTTATTTGGAACTCTGTGCTTCCTAGACTTGTAAGTCTATTTCTTTCCCCAGGTAGGGAACGTTTTCTGCCATTATTTCTTCAAATAGGTTTTCAATAACTTGCTCTGACTCTTCTTCTGGCACCCCCACGATGCAAACGTTGGTACATTTGAAGTTGTCCCAGAGACTCCTTACAATATCTTCATATTTTTGGATTCTTTTCCTTTTTGCTCTTCTGATTGGATGTTTTTTGCTTCCTCATATTCCAAATTGCTGATTTGATTACATATTCACAAGTTCTACCATTCACAATCATTGCAATCAAAAGTATTTTTCTAAAACCATTTTTATTTTTATAATTTAAAAATTTTAAGCTTTACTAACTAATATGTTTGTGAGGTTTCAGGAGAGGTATATGTAAACTTTACTTTAAAATGTAAAATTTAGGTGTATTTTTTTATTAAATTTATTGGGGTGACATTGGTTAATAAAATTATATAGGTTTCAGGTGTACAATTCTATAGTAGATCATTTGTATATTGTATTGTGTCTTCACCACCCCAAATCAAGTCTCCCACCATCACTATTTATCCCCCTTATGCCCTCTTCTACCTCCCACCACCCTCTTTTCCCTCTGGTAATCACCATACTGTTGTCTGTGTCTAAGTGTTGTTGTTGTTGTGTTTTTCTTTGCTTAATCCTTTAAACTTTTTACCCAAACCTCAACCCCCTTCTGTAATAAAATAAATGTGATAAACTATATGATTAAGGAAGCTCATAAAAACTTTAAACTAACAATTACAAATCGATACTTTCCCTCTGCAGCATCTAAGAGCCAAATGTTTTTATTTTTCCTTGGAATCGAATGACTTCTTGGTAAACTTACTATGTGAAATATTGTTTTATTTTCTAGTTCAGTCATCTTTGACACTTGACAGAGTGTTACTTGCCAAAAGGGTTTGCAGTACATTTTAGCCTCATAGGGGAAAAAAAGAAAAGGTTTAAAAGTTTTTAAACTAAGACTATAAGTGAAAAGATGGAATAAAATATATTCACCCCAGAATTTCTAAACAAAGTTAAGGTCTTATTCTATCATTTATTTATTTACAATATTACACTCAATAAGAAACCAAGTCTTAAGAATGCAAATAGTAAATATTTATAATTCAGCAATCAATGTATTTTTCAGTATATAAGTCTAATGATTGCCCTGGTCATAAGTCAGTCTATCTTAGCATGAATTTTTTAATAATATTGAGAGCATAACAGAAAACAACTTGAAATAAATGCTCACTCCTAACTATTGAATTTTGAGATGTGCCTCTTTCTAGTTTTTTTAATATCTCTTTTTCACATAAATGTAAATTTATAGAGACATAAAATTACTGGTGTAGTATAATATGTTCATGGTGAATAGAACAAAAAGTCATATTTATGCTTATCTTTAAGAGGTTATATTTGTTCCTTAAAACAAGTGCTTTCCAATTCCTTATGTTCTCTTTTTTGCTCTTGGCCCTTTGATGATCTTTCTGGATACATGTTTCACCCAGATTATTCAGGCCATGCAACTGAATCCGAAAGATAGGCTGCATCGGGGCTATAGGATGTCACGAGTATTTGTAGCTTGCTCTGTTTTCTTTGACCCCAGAAGGAGCAGTTTTTATTGATGTGTCTATAGCTGTGGATGGAACAAGGTACTAATGGCTGAAAGGAAAAGTGCAAGGAACAAAGGCAAAAGATGGAAAAGTGTATCAGCTTTTTCCTGTTTTTCAATGTAATCAACTGTATTAATGAACACATTTTCCTTATTCATATACAAATGACAGTGAATTTCATACAATAAGATTATGGACTCCACATAACTTTTGAATAAGGTGGTATTTTTTCCTACTATTTTTGGGATAATTTATGAAAAGAGTTCAATTACTTTCTACCAATATATTGAATAAATGAAATCAGTCCTAAAATCTGATTGTATACTCTGACCAGTTTGCAACATGAAGAAAATAATGTAAGTCCCCCTCTCTCTTTCCTAGGTTTCTGGATCATTTGAGAATTTTACTGGCTGCATAGAAGTTGTAGAAATCAATAACTGGGGATCTTTCATTCCATCCAAGGCAGTGAAAAAAATTCACATCGATAACTGCAGGTAAAATACCACTAATGAATTTTCAAATAATTGTTCAAATAACCACATCAAAAGATAAGATTTCCATTTGAAATAATCTAATCATTTGGTTGTTCTTCACACTTCCACATTCTAATTTACTTTCTTGCAGACTATAGAATTTGTAAGCTCTATCCCAATTAAGTTGGAACATTTATTTATAATCAGTTTCTTCTTTATACTGATAAGAAACATCATATCTACTGAAAAAAAGATCAGTGAGTTGGATTAGAAAACATCATCTCTCAGTATTTAAGTACAAGCACACTGACAGTCATGCAGGCGGTATATTGCTCAGAGTGCTAAAATGTATTTTTCTGCTACTATATCTCTCTCAAAAAGTTGTCCTTGTGCTTGAATGTCCATCTTAGTGACACATTCTTTTCAGATAACCTTCTCTGGTTATAGAAATCTCTACCTATGTTGGGGGGAAGAGCTAGTACAGTTGACTCCGTATTAGGCATTAAAACATTAGTATAAATTGGTTTTTAAAAAAACTCCCTTACAATTAAGAAAAAAGGATCATTTTTGGAGCTTTATAGTGCATTGTTATATGTTCTCACAAGTTAGGTAGGATGGCAGGGTGGGGCATGGTGTTTGGTCACAGGATAGCCTAAAAACATATTAATTTATTCTACCAAAATTTTTAGAAGTACTGAAATCTTTCTGTGCACTCTGGTCCAATGTGAATAAACAGCCACACAGTGCCAGTTGTTAAGGAATTTATAATGTAATTAGAGGCCCAGTGCATGACATTCGTGCATTCAGGGTGTGCAGGGGATCCCTCAGCCTGGCCTGCACCCTTTAGCAGTCCAGGAGCCCTCAGGGGATGTCCAACTGACGGCTTTGGCACGCTCCCCACAGTCAGACATCCTTAGCACTGCCGCGGAGGTAGGAAAGGCTCCTGCCACCACTGCTGCAGTCACCAGTCTTCAACCCAGTTTGTGGTTGAGCAACACTCCCCCTGTGGGAGCACACTAACCACCAGGGGGGCAGCTCCTGCATTGAGCGTCTGCCCCCTGGTGGTCAGTGCACATCATAACGACTGGTCATTTGGCCGTTCGGTCGATTTGCATATTACCCTTTTATTATATAGGATAGAGGAGCTATTGATGAAATGTTTAAATGAATATATGAACATGAAAAGTGCTAAGGAAAAAAACAGAAGGCTATGAGAACCTCACATATTTGAGTAAAATCAAACTTACTCCTTCATTTTTTGTGTGTGGGGGGAGGTTGGTATTATTCATATTTAAGAATTAAAGAAATACTTCAGAAGGTAAAATAATTCACCTTAAAATCTTTATTGTTGAAAGTATTATAAATGCCCCCTTTGTCCCCCATTGACCCCTTCTATCCCACCTCCTGCCCTAGACTAATGCATTTACAATATATTTGTAGCAACTATTATACAGTAGTAGGCAGGGTGCTTTTATTTTGCTTGTTTGTCTGTATGTTTTGTTTTTAATCAAATGAAAACTTGATGTCTTACATTACATACATTAGATGGGTCCCAGCAATTTTAATATAAATCAAACACACATAAGTCCTTATATTTTACTACTTATTCCTAATTTTTTTAAAAAGCATATGTCCATTTTTTTATGATTTACAATTAGAAGTATTTTCTAACAATTATTTATCCCTTAGATTCTTTGTTCTATACCTTCTCTGTCAAATACTATGTGATCTGTTAACTATTACTAAGTTAATTATGAGCAGTCACTAGGTAGTAAGTCCATTGAAAAGGATGCAGTTCTTTGACAATTTATACATTCATCTGCTAATTTAATAATACGATAAACATACATGTTTCTATTATTTTTATAAAAGCGGGACACACTTGACTTTTGCTTATAGGAATAAGTATAAAACAAGAACAAAAACAAAAATTCATAGTGTAATCTCAGCTATCTTCAAGGCAATTGTAAATGTTGTCTTTTCTTGGTCTCTCTTCTAATATAGTCCTATTTTATTTAAAATGCCATTCATTTGACCTTTATTTTGTAATATTGGTTCTTTAACCACTGGCTAGGACTTAAAGCTTCTAGTGATATTATCCCTCCCTACAAAATCCAACAGAGCTGTAGACATATAAGAGGTATTTTGCTTATAGTTAGAGTTAGTACAACTGGCAACGATTATAGTGTGTGCTCCTTGTGGATATGGACTATGTAGGCCAGGGGTCCTCAAACTACAGCCCGCGGGCCACATGCAAATACAAATATTGTATTTGTTCCCATTTTGTTTTTTTTACTTCAAAATAAGATATGTGCAGTGTGCATAGGAATTTGTTCATAGTTTTTTTTTAAACTATAGTCCGGCCCTCCAACAGTCTGAGGGACAGTGAACTGGCCCCCTGTTTAAAAAGTTTGAGGACCCCTGCTGTAGGCCATTCACTGTCATTTCCCTGGAATAGCAGATGTTCCAAGTTTTACTCTATAAAGTAGCTTGTAATTCTATTGTGTGATTATTTCTTCATACACATTTTTACTTTGAGATTCCCATTAGATTTACTCTACACAGTGATTCTGAAATATTTTGGCTTTTGCACTCTTAAAAATTATTATTGGCTGCTAAGAGCTTTTAAAAAAATATACAGAATATAACATTTTCATCGGTGTTTATCATATTAAAAAACTGAGGAGTTTAAGTATATTTATCATTTAATTCTTGTAAAATAAAAAGATAAACTCATTACATATTAACATAAATAACATAGAATAGTGTACTTCTATAAAAATAACTATACTTGACAAACATAAAAATGATAGAAGAGTGTAATGTTTTACATATTTTGCACATATTTTTAATGAAGACGCCTGAATTCTCATATGTGCTTCTGCATTCAATCTGTCCAATAATTGCTCACTGTGGTAGTTGAAGAAATCTTGCCTCACACATATATTTGGACATGATAGGGTATTATTAAAAGGCTTTTCAGAGAATTGGAAATACTTTTATTTGATATTACACCAAAACTTGGTAATAATAGATTGTTAAAGGTTAGTTGTAATATGTAATGTGAAACCTTGATCAGTGAGCCTTTACACTCTTAAATTCAAACCCATTGTCCTATTTTACATTTTTAAAAATATATTTTTATTTATTTCAGAGAGGAAAGGAGAGGGAGAGATAGAAATATCAATGATGAGAAAGAATCATTGATTAGCTGCCTCCTGATCGCCCCCGGGATCGAGGCCACAACAGGGGCATGTCCTGACCTGAATCAGACACTGATCTTCTAGTTCATAGCAGTTAACTGCCACGATATTTTGAATTTAATTAAAAAAGGTCCACCGCTTGCATGTATAGATGCTTATGGCGTACAAATTTAAGTCACCACTCAACCCCTGAGCCACACAGGCTGGGACTATTTTACATTTTGAATGGTTCTTTTACCCATGCATGATTTTGTACTATCACTTACAAAATATTGTTTTTGAGTTATTCAGCTGCCTCAAATATCTAGACACAGCAGTACAAAATATCAAAAAAATCTTAGCTGTGACTATGCCCTTCAATCTCATCAGGAAAGTTTTTAACTATTGTAAAGCTGTCAAACTCACAATAGTGGATAAGATTTTTTTCCAAAATTCTAATATTTCCTTAAACGCTCAGATTTTAATATTGACAACAAATACTATTAGTTACTTTCTTTGACGTGACAGGCTCATTTTGTTTTTGAGAAACTCTCTACCTAATACCTTGAGTTGCATAACCATAGTTTGAATGTTAGTTGTTATTTCAAGAAGCTAGCTGGGCTCGCGTGCTACATAATCACATAAGTACTCCTCTAAGTACTTCTCCTTGAGCTCAGCAGGCAGCAGGAGTTTACTTTATGCATTGTCCCCTTTGACTCACACATTATTAAGAAGGCATATAATTATAAGTTATAGTTTTAAAAATAATAGTTTTGCCACTGCCTCAAGTACATTCTTGAGTAAAATTAGCAATTTTCAACTGTAAGTCGAGAATACTATACCGATTAATGTAAGTTGGTGTCACCATTTTTATTCATAGTAAGGCATTATAGTTTTATCCACCATTACTCTTGTACTATCAGTGTGAATGTAAACACAGTGAAAAAGTCACAAAGCATCTTGGTGTTATTAAAAATATTTTAACCTCACAGACCATATGAAAGATTGTTGGAGTCTTTTTCATCACACTATGAGAAATACTGCTTTCCATTAATTTGGCATTTGGTTCCCTATTTGCCTGATTATATCGCACAGGTAGTTACTGTCACAGTGGAGGACTATGTGAGATTCCGAATTTTATTACAGGGACTATAGTCCTACCATTTTATATTATAGCATTGAGATGCTACTGTCGAGAAGTCAAAACTAAAATTAATACTAGTCTCAGTCTTACACACATAAAGATGAATAACCCCACAGTTTGTTGATTTCTTGCTTGAGGCTCATTAATATATTCTCTTTATTGACCAAAAGACTTCTATGAGTTAATTCTTACTATACTAATTTTTATTATATATCTTTCATTCACTTCAAAGCTTCTAGGAAATATTTCTATATAATATTTTCATCTTCTCTAATATTTTTAAATTATCATAAAATCTTGCTGTTTATACTTTTGAAATATATTCTTATTTGTAGAAAAATTATACGTGTTTAAAGTGTACATGATTATTTTATATACATATACATAGTGAAATGATTACTATAGTCAAGCTAATTAACATATATATCTCCTCACATAGCTACTTTTTTTTGTGGTGACAGCATTGAAATTTACTCTCTCAGCAAATTTCCAGTATTTCAGTATAGTCTTATTAAATTAACTATAGTCATCATGCTGTACATTAGATCTCCAGACTTCATCTTACATGACTGCAACTTTGTTTCTTTTAACCAACATCGCCCCATTCCCGACACCTACCTGCCCTGGTTATCACCATCCTACTATTAGACTATTTTCAACTCTATTATAAGTGAAATCATGAAATTTTTTCTTTT